GCGCGCGAAAGATCATATTTTGAGCGCACAAAAGTGCATTTTGCACGAGCACAAGTTATTTTGAGATAATGTTCGTTTTCACAAAGAAAAAAGTATTTCGAGCGCACAAAAATACATTTTGCATTTAAAATGTTTTTGGATGTGTGCAGACCTTCTCTTTTGCGCGTGCAAAGTTTCACTGACTTGCTCCCTTGATGCCCGCCCTCAGTGCTCTCTAAATGCCAACAGCTCGCTTGCTCAACACAACCCAGCGTTACAATATGCCATAATTCCAGCCAATCAGAGATGAGGCTGCTAAATTCTGATTGGCTGCCTTGACAACAATTCACAACATTTCTTGCATTACCACGACCGCAGAAGAGGAAAAATACAGTGCATGCATAATTATTATGCAAGTTGATATTCTGATTATATTTTTTTCCAAGCACATTTTACCAATTCCAAACAACATCAATCTTAATAACTACTATTAATCTTGTATTTAATCACTTATAATCTATATATCATTGTTCATGAAGGCTGGAAGTGAAAAACGCCTTAGATTCAGGTGTGCATAATTATTAAGCAGGTTATCTTCTACAGATAAAATCTCGAGATGGACTAAAAATGAACTCCCAAAACTTACTGCCAGATTCTGGAAGATAAATTCTTCAAACAGTGGTACAAGAGGATGTGGTGCTGGTCCTTCAAGAGTCACTCTCAACTTATCTGTCTATAAAGCCTATATATATATATAAATAAATTAAGTGGATTCGTACCATTCGGACGGGATTAGATTTCTCTGAGGACCGCTGAGTTTGCAGAAGAACCGTAGGTAATTTGCTCTGGAATTTTTACAGTGGTCGTGTGAGAAAAAGACAGACATGGCAGATTCGGACAGGATTAAAATCTCAAAGTACATCTGTGAAACAGAAATTTATCTGACGTCCCCCTGTAAAACTAGTCCCGTCTGAATATGGCTTAAGTTTGAGCAAATCATTCATGATCCAGCTTCACCTCCAGAAGAAGTGAGTGTAAGGTTTTTTTAATGAATCTTTGCAAATCGCCTTTCCTAATAATGTGCTAGTTAGCGAGTTTTACGATGAATGCGGCTAAAGTTTACTGTCTCTCAGAGAGTGGCTCGGAAGAGAGGGGTAGGGTGAGCAGAGCTCATTTGCATTTAAAGCAGAATGCAATAAAACAGCGTGCTGTAGACAGAGTTTTTGACGGTAAAAACGGTGTTGTTTTACACTACCATTGAGAAATTTTAACCAAACTATGTTACAGAGTTTTCATTAAGACCCTAAAGAATCATATCGACTTGTAGAAAATGGGCATCCGATGATCCCTTTAATAAAAATCAATGCTTTTTTTTTCAGCAAATATGCATTTAAACTGATCAAAAGTGACAATAAAAACAATGTTACAAAAGATTCTATTTCAAATAAATGCTGTTCTTTTGAGCTTTCTATTCATCAAAGAATCCTGGAAAAAAATGTTTCCATAAAATATTAAACAGCAAAAACTTTTTAACATGGATTAAAATAAGAACAATTATTAATAACTTAGCACCAATAATAATTGTGCAGCAAATCAGCATATTAGAATTATTTCTGAAGGATCACGTGAGACTGAAAACTGGAGTAATGATGCTGAAAACTCAGCTTTGTGTCATAGGCATAAATGACATTTTTTTCAAATGGAATATTCAAAAAGAAAATAGATTTAAATTGTAATAATATTTCACAGTATTACTGTTTTTACTTTGTTTTAGATCAAATAAATGCAGCCTTGAAGAGCATTAGAGACTTCATTAAAACAATTAAAATGTACTGTACTGTATTTCGTGATGAATTATCTGGCTTTGTTTAAATGTTTACTATGGGCATTCTGAAATCTTTCCAACTGTATTAGTGATGATGATATTGTCGTGTGCTGAAAAAAAAAACATAGATTAATCACGCTTTGTACAGACACACTGCAAAGCAGAGGCATTGTAGCATTTTAAGCGTCAGTGTGCAATCAGAATGCTGTACACCTAAATAGAGCAAGAGAACGGAACAGACTGGCCTTACAACACATTGTTCTAGGTTCTGTTATTTGAGAGACTGTTACAACATTTTGATAAAGCTCCAATCAGTTTCCTTTTGAAATCAAAATCGTAATATTGATCATGATTTTTTTTCTGTCCGTATCGCACAGCCCGAATTACAATTGAAAATCACAATATGAACATAGCTCACATTCACTAAAAATATTATAACATTAGCGGTATTGATTCAACCAGCCAGTGAGTGAATGTCACTTTTTTGCTCTGGCCTCCAGCTGAACTGGAAGTTTTTGAGTTAGACTTATTGCCTGAATTTTATCACCTGAAGTGCTGGTCACCACCCCAGTAGTTTGAAATGTGCCTATTCAAATGCTTTTTCTTTTTTTGTACTTTTGGTGAAAAAATAAATGTAGTGAAGTTGAATACATAGGGGCCTAATTTTTATTCAACTCCCAAGTAAAATAACCACAGTTTAATTATACTCAAAATAGAACTAACTAACTAAATAAAAATGTCCTGTAAGAAAAGTAATTGTAATTTGTTACTTTCCACCTCTGATTTCAGGTAAGGGGTTTTGTAACCCTTATTTTGCTGTCCTTCTTTCAACGTTTGGAGTTTATTTACCCCTTCACAACTTATTTTTCTTTGACTATATGATTCACACAACAATGAAAATTCAGTAATTTACTCACTGTAATATTTTTATTTTATGGTGTCCTTGTTACATGTTTCATGTACTTGCTGTAGTAATAGCAACAATAAATTATGCATAATTATATGCAACTAACTATAAACCAAACCCTCATCCTAACCATAACCATATAGTAAGTACATGTAGTTAATTAATATTACTCCGTACTTAAATGTGTAATTACACCGTAACAAGGACACCATAAAATATAATTTAACACCAAATAATATTTTTGATCCACATACTTGCATTTTAAGTAGGTTGGGACAAAGATAATTTTGTCAGACCTCTAGTAAAGTACATGTTCTTTTGTTTAGTAGCCTAATGTTTAGGTTTTGTAAATTAGTCTACAGAATCATTTTCTTTAGAATCGTGACAACTTTAATTGATGAATCAAGAGTTGACGCATTTGAAAGTGTAATTTTTTTTGAGGGTCTTTGTTTTAACCAGTGTTGTTTTTCCTGTTTCTCTGTTTCTGTAGGGCTATGTTTATGAGTGGGCTCAGTGAGAGCAAACAGACACATGTTCATCTTAGAAATGTTGACCCCATCACACTGCAGACCATCATAACCTATGCTTACACCGGGAACTTAGTCATCAACGACACCACTGTGGAACCTCTCTACGAGACGGCCTGTTTTCTTCAGGTTGGAAAGACGTGCACACATTCTTCCATGGGTTAACGTTAACATTACAACTTTTCCTCTCACATACTTGCTTGCTCATGTTTTGTCATTTTACCCTCCACATACATGCACAAAGCTCTCACATTGACTTGTTTTACCAAGTTTACCACTTGTTTCACTCACAAAACCTATGGGTCATACATTACCATCACAACATGCCATTGTTGCAGACTTTGAGTGGCACACTCTAGCATTTTTCCACAAAACAACTGGTCAACAGCCAATGAAGGGAATGACTGATCATAATGGAATTTCAGTGACCTTTTAGAAGTGGGACCGTTAGAAAATCTCAATATTTACAGTATTGTTAATCAATGTTTATGTCTACTTATTTCTGGCTTTCATTGTCTTTCTTTCAGGTGGAGGATGTTTTACTGCAGTGTCGAGAATACTTGGTCAAAAAAATCACTGCTGAAAACTGCGTCCGCATGCTAAGCATCGGTGACCTGTTTAGTTGCACAGAGTTGAAGCAAAGTGCTAAGCGCATGGTGGAGCACAAATTTCCTGTCGTCTACCGACAGGAGGCTTTCCTGCAGCTCTCACACGAGCTTTTGCTGGACCTCCTGAGCAGCGATAATCTCAATGTGGAGAAAGAGGAAACGGTACGTGAGGCAGCCATGCTGTGGCTGGAATACAACATGGAAGCACGTTCTCAGTATCTTTCCTCCGTACTTAGCCAGATTCGAATTGATGCCCTTTCTGAGGTGACCCAACGTGCCTGGTTCCAAGGTCTTCCACCAAACGACAAATCAGTGGTAGTGCAAGGCCTGTACAAGTCTATGCCAAAGTTTTTTAAGCCCAGACTGGGAATGACCAAGGAAGAAATGCTCATTTTTGTAGAGGCTGATCCACCAGCTGAAAGCCACCCAGTCGTGATAGGGCCACGTCACACAGTGGTCTGTTACAGCCCTCAAGCAGAGAAGGTCTACAAACTGTGTAGCCTGCCTGGAGACTTGCAGAAGGTTGGGACATTGGTCACCCCAGACAATGATGTGTTCATTGCCGGTGGACAGATACCACTGAAGAGCACTCTAGCTACCCACGGCAGCAAAAGTGGCAAACTGCAGGCTGCCTACTGTTCAGTGGACAGCTTCTACTGGCTGGATGCCCAGCAGAATGCATGGGTGGCCAAAACGCCGATGCTCTATGCTCGTACTAAACCATCACTGGTGTATTGTCAGGGTTTCATTTACGCTATTGGTGGTGATAATGTGGGTGGTGAGTTAAATAAGCGCACAGTGGAACGCTACGATTGTGAGCGGGATGAATGGAGCTTGAGCAGCCCTCTTCCCTGCGCGTGGAGTTGGAGCACAGCGGTAATGGCCCGGGACTGCATCTATGTCATGACACATGACCTCATGTACTGCTACTTCCCTCGAGCTGACACTTGGGTGGAAATGGCCATGCGGCAGACTAGTCGCTGCTTTGCTTCAGCCGCTGCATTAGGAGACCTCATCTTCTATATTGGTGGTCTGCATGTGGTGGGCAACTCGGGTTTGCGTCTGCCAACCAGCACTATCGATGGCTCCTCCGTTACGGTAGAAATATACGATGTCAACAAAAACGAATGGCGTCTGGCTGCTAACATCCCAGCCAAGAGATATTCTGACCCCTGTGTGCGTGCTGTGGTGCTACTGAATACGCTATGCATCTTTATACGTGAGACACACTTAAACGAGCGGGCGAAGTATGCTCTCTATCAGTACGACCTGGAGCTCGATTGCTGGTCCTTGCGGCAGCCAGTGTCAGAACGTGTGCTCTGGGATCTCGGCAAAGATTTCCGCTGTGCCGTGGGTAAATTATACCCGTCCTGCCTTGATGAATCTCCCTGGAAGCCACCCACTTACCTCTTCTCTCCTGATGGAGCTGAGGAGTTTGAGGTGGATGAGGACATGGTGTCACTGCCTCATGTATAGTTAATGGTGTCGTTTTTAAAACTAACCTGTAATTTATCCACTGTTCTGGAATAATGCTCTTCTGTTTTGAGAGGAAAGGTGACGGTCTTCCCTTAATGCCTAGCGTGTTCATGGAGATCAAAAGTTTAATTGCAATCTAAAATGTTTAATTCAAATTTTGACCCATTTCCGACACTTGTAGTTTTGATCATTCTCATAGCAAGTTTGAGAACATAAGTATTTCATTTCTCTCATCATTACAAGTTTGGCATACTGTTTTAACAATTTGATGGTGCGAATGATGCGATTCAACCTCTGGCAACTGTACACCCAGAGTTTGTAAATTTCTCACTCTTCTTTTGTCCAGTTCATCTTCCAGAAATCAGTTGCTCACCTTTCTCCTAAATGTCACCAGGGTAACAAGTGGTTCATGGGGTTGGCGGGATATTTTGTACTGAATGTCATTTTTGATGTTTTGGTTCGCCGCTGGTTTGGTGATTTGCTTGACATTGATTTTGTTGTTATTGTTGTGCTGTATTATCATAGTTCACGTTCTCTGTGGTCTGTCTGTTGACCCATCTTGGATACGACATAATTTGACCTCTTAAAAGGATAGGTTTCACACTTACAACCACAAACACACTAGCGATACCTCAGGGTGCTTACCAGTCTTGTTTCCTGCTCAGTTTACCATATCATTTATTTCTCTCTCCCTCATTCAATCTTGTGTGTATGTATGTATGTATGTGTATATATATATATATATATATATATATATATATATATGTGTGTGTGTGTGTGTGTGTGTATATATGTATATGTGTGTATGTATGCATGTATGTACATACGTATGTACGTACATGCATGCATGCAATACATACATACGTGTGTGTGTATGTACTTTGCAAAGGAATTTCTTTTTTTTTGTTTCTTTAGGCATCATTGTCTCTTAAGTTCCTGTGTTTGTCCTCGATGAGACGAATGCAGGAAGTGCCTGCCACAGTTTTCATTCTCCATCATGTTCAGATTTATGTATGTTTAGATACTGAAAGTGTGGAACTGAATTGAAACCGGTAAAAAATAAATAAAACAAGCTTTACTCTTGAGTCACCATGAAGCATCTTCAAATTGCCCTTAATGCTTTGTTGCCCTGGATCATAACGTTTGTTCTAATATTCTGGTTATTTTACTGGGGAAAGAAATTTGTGCAATTTCTGCTGTATTTGTGCAATAGTGTGTACAAAGCTGTTCTTTCCTGCCAAACTGAACCCTCCTTTTTGGTTTTCATCATTTCATACTATTATTTGTAATAACTTGTTATAAAATAATATTGAGACTCTTTCTGTTGCTTGGGTCATTTAGATGAGGGTGGTCCAACAAGTACAACAGTTGTAAATATGCTTGATGGATCAAAATTTCTCATCAAGATCTTCGCAAAACTTTTGCATTACCATGAATGAAATGGGGGGGGGGGGGGGGG